CCATGGCACTTTCAATATTCTCCTCCAACACCACAATTCAAAGGCATGACATTATTGAATAACTCCTGTTCATGCAGATCGTACTTTCATAGAATTGTTGTTGTTGTTAAGTGCTGTCGAGTCAGTTCCAACTCATAGTAACCCTGTATAAGGTTTCCAAGGAGCAATTGGTGAATTTGAACCACTGACCTTGTGGTTCAAACCGACTTTGCTGTCTAGTGCTTTATCTCACAGCGCCACTTAAATGTTTGACCACTCAATACTCGTTTATGACATTCATGACTATATTGGAGTAGGCTTTTTGAATTTTAAGATGCACTAGTTCCTCTGTTGAGTCCTGGTGTGGTGTTGCAAAATAAGGATTGGACTGCTAACCATATGGTTGCCTATTCAAACACAACAGTCACTACTTGGAAGCCCTATATAGTGTCGCTATGAGTCATAACCAACTGGATGTCACTTAATAACAACAACTATAGTTACTCTGTAGGATGAGCACTGGACTGCAAACCACAGGTCAGTGGTTGGAGCCCACCAGCTACTCTGCAGGCGAAAGATGAGGCTCTCTGCTCCCACAAGATTTATAGCTTTCGAGTTTTAAGATGTACGTGTTGTTCTGTGGTCTGCAAACCACAAAGTCAGCAGTTCAAGCTCACCAGCCACTCTGTGAAAGAAAGATGAGACTTTCTGTTCCTGCAGAGATTTACAGCCTCAGAAACCCTATACAGTGTCACTGTGAGTCAGAATCAACTCAACGACACTTAACAACAAAAGTTTAAAATGGCCACAAGTGACCGCACACATCTGTGGTCAACTGATTTTTGAGAAGGATGCGAAGTTTATTTGATCAAGAAAGAAGAGTGTCTTCAATAAATGCTGCTGAGAAAGTTGGATTTCTACATGCAGAAAAATGAAACAGGATCCATGCCTCACACCATACACAAAAACAAATTCAAAATTGATTAAGGACCTAAATGTACAAAGTAAAACCATAAAATTCATAGAAGAGCAAGCAGAGGCACTGTCAGGCCTAGCTTTTAACACTGGAGTATCTAATATAATGATAAAAGCACAAGAAACAAAAGACAAAATATATGGAAACTCATAAAACTTAAAGCTCCTGTTCATCAAAAGACTTCACCAAAAAGTGAAAAGACAAGCTACTGACTGGGAAAATATCTTCAAAATATATTTGACAAGAATCTAATAACCAAACTATATATAAAAACACAACTTAACAAAAAGACAAATAACCCAGCATAAAATAGGCAAAGGGTTTGAATAGACATTTCACCAGAGGACAATCAAATGGCCATCAGACATGAAAAGATACACAATATCATTAGCCATCAGAAAGATGCAAATCAAAACTACAGTGAGATACTACTCATCTCCTACTTGGATGATTGAGAATTGATGCGTTTGAATTATAGTCCTGGAGAAGAAGATCTGTGTCGGAAGAGGTACCAACAGAATGCTCCTTAGAAGCCATGGTGGTGAGATTTTTATCTCATATTTTGGACACGTTGTCAGAAAGGACCAATCCCTGGAGAAGGACATCGTGCTTGGCAAAGTGGAGGGTCTTCAAAAAAGAGGAAAACCCCCAAGGAGATAGACTGACACTGGCAGGATCAATGACCTCAAACGTAACAATGGTGAAATGGCATAGGACTGGGTGGGTAGTGTTTTGTTCTATTGTACATAGGGTTTCTGTGAGTCAAAACAAACTTGATAGTACCGAACAACAATGAAAACAGGATGAGTAAAATAAAAAGTAGATACCGAATGTTGGCAAGGATGGGGGGAAACTGGAGTCCTTATCCACTAGTATCCTTCTCTGGATAGGGGCTCACATTCTGCTAATGTTTTTCATCCTTGATAGTCCAAGGGTTCTCTGTTTCTGGACTGTAAGATTAACTACTCCCCCATTTTTGTTACAAAACTTTTACCTTTACAGTTGTGACAGTCACAATTAATCGTGGTAACAATTACTCACTATTGAATTATCCCCCATCTCTTTTTATCAGACCTGTCTAGACAAGATGAAGACTATTCAGTGGGGATTCTATCTTCCCCTGCACACTCTTAAACTCAACTCCCTCTTGAAAACTTGTAAGTCAGTCACTTCATGTCTTTATCACCCCCTCATTTTAGGTAGCCAGTGTCTTAAGTTGCCCGTCCTTATTTACTCTGTATACAGAGAGGATAGGATTGATACTTGATGTGAAGACTCCTTCTCTCTCAGTTGGTATTTTGAGCTACTACATCCATAAATATAGGTCAAGTTCATCAAATTGTAGCAATTTACACTTGTTTTCTTTTATCAAAAAAAAATTTTTTTTTATCTTCCTGTAGTCAAGTTCTGATTATCAAGCCATTGAGGCCAGGTCAAATGGGTGCTTTCTGCAAGTTTGGGTGTTCTTATGCATCTCCCCATACTTCATATCAGCTGGATGCTTCACTCTCAGCTCTTGCCCTCCATGGCTATGCCTTTGTCCATGGGCTCAGGAGCCCCCAGGTCTCACCACACTTCGGACCAACCAGCCCTTCCTCTTCTCTCTTTCATTTCCAGCTCAACAGGAGTCAATGGAACATGGTTGAACTCAGCGCATTTCTTCATTGCTGCCTTTTCCCCCTCTTCCACTCACCAGTAGACCAATGTAGTTGCCAGCAAGCTTACAGCCTGCTCATGTGTTCCCTTTGAGTTTCAGTCTTGGAGGGGTCATAAGCTTTTAAGATCCCAGTTTCCACTCACCAAAGCAGGACATGCAACATTGTCTTTGTAGACTGTTATGCCAGTTAACCGTGGTGCCTCCTGAGACTGTGATCCCAAGATCACAGGTCCAGCAACTTATTACCTCAGAGTGTTTAGTAATGTCTAATAAGTGTTCATTGTTTTGTTCCCTGTAGAGCATTGTGCTCTTAAGAGAATAACCACCATCACCATATGGGATTAAGGAGCCCTGGTGTGGTGCTGTAGGATAAGGACTGAACTGCTACCAGCAAGGTTGGCAATTCAACCCCAAGAGCCGCTCCTTGGAAAGCCTATACAGGGTCACTGTGAGTCAGAACTGGCTCAGTGGCACTTAACAACAATACATAGTATCCAATCCATAACAGCAACTTGAAAGATAAGAAGCTTAGAGGGCAGTGAGTTTATGTTAATGAGGGTGAAACAACACAGAAAATGAGGGTGAGAATTGTTGCACATTGAAGAATGTAATCAGTGTCACTAAATGATACATTTATAAAATTATACATTTATAAAATACTGTGTATATTCTTAATAACAACAAAATAAGTAAAGCTTGGGTGAAAAAAACAGCCACATGTCTGTTGACTTTTCCTTGCTATTACCCTCTTTCTCTCCAGCATGTCCTATACTGAAGCTGTGGAGATCTTAAAGCAGGCATCTGAGAACTTCACTTTCACACCTGAGGTGGGTATATTTTTATATGAATGAAAATGTTTCCCTCTTGTCTTTATCCGACTGCATGAAAAATAATTTTTAAATTAACATTTTATTGGCTCATCTGTAGATAAGCAATGTGATGTTTGCTCTCTTTTGAAAGATTTAGAATGAAAACTAAATATGATACAGAATCAATGGAGTGTATTCTGGTTCCTGAGGACCCTATAGAACTAAGTAGAATTTTCCCATAGGATTTCCAATGCTGTAGATCTTTACAGAAGTAGAAACAGACAGCTACATCATTTTCCTTCAAAGAGCCTGCTGGGTTTGAACTGTCATCCTTCCAATTAGCTGCCGAGTGCTAATCACTGCACTACCAGAGCCCCTTGTAACTTTTAATAAAAACCAAACCCACTACCATCCAGTTGGTTTGAATGCATAGTGACACTATATGTCTGAGAGTGTAAATCTTTATAGGAGCAGACAGCCTCATCTTTTTCCTGGGGAGCAGCTAGTGGGTTTGAACTACTTACTTTGCAGTTAGCAGACCATTGCCTATCCCGCAGCATCACCAGAGCTCCTTATGACAAATTTAAAAAGATAAAAATCTGTTAAAAGAATGCTTATCATAGAACATTAGTGTAGAAGTCAACTAGTTTAGAGTTTCCCAGAGTGTGTTCTTACTGATATGTTAAAGGTCAGAGAAAAGAAAGGAAAAGAAAAAAGTGGGTATGGCCAGATAACAAACTCCTCGTGTGGCACTGTAGGATCAGCGCTGTACTTCAAACTAGAAGTTTTGAGGTTCAAACCTACCGATTACTCCTCAGAAAACCCTACATAGGGTTGTTATGAGTCGGAACTGACTCAACAGCACTTAACAACAACAACAAGTTGGTCATATACATTTAGAAAGCATATTACACAGGTTTCTTTTTCAGTTGAGTATTATGGAACTTTTAAGTTTGTGAGCCACTTTAGAAAACACTAATTTATTAGAAAACACTCATTAACTTTTTTCTTAAAGAACTCTTTTGTTTTATTGTTAAGGACATAGGTCCTGAGAGGTACCATGATTTACCAGTGGGCATGCACATGATAGAAGCAGAGCATACCCCAAATGTTCTGATTCCTATTCTGGTGCTTTAGTTTGATATAATTAAGATGTTGTTGTTGTTGTTGTTAAGTGCCCTCGAGTCAAGTCCGGCCCATAGCAACCCTGTATAGGGTTTCTGAGGAACAAGTGGTGAGCTTGACCCCCGACCTCGCGGTTCGAACTAACTGCAGTCTGGTGCATTAACCCACAGCGCCACACTAGGACTCCCTAATTACGATTTTGCTAGACAAATGTGAGTGAGTAATAGGAATATAGTAACTTTATCTTCAAACTATTCCTTATACCAGCCTCATCTCCAGTTAAATCTCGTCCTCTTGGAAATTCTAGTAACTCTGTGCTTATTATGTAAGGGGGAATCAAAAAGCATGTGGAAAAATGGAATTAAAAGGTAATGAAAAAAAAGAAAAGAAAAAAAAAAAAAAGGTAATGAAATGTTTCCACAAGCTTTTTGAAGCCCCCTCATATTTATAATTAATTTTTTGTATAATTTTGTATTTGTGTTTGTTTCCTCCTGTGGAACCCTCATGCAGCTGAGGATCCTATCTGGTGTTTTTCAGCACTTAACAACAAGTATCCTATTCCTAGCATACCCATCCACTTGATTCCAAGTCATAGCAACCCTCTAGGACCGAGTAGAAGTGTTCCGTAGGGTTCCGGAGACTGTAAATATTTACAGGAGCAAACAGTCTCATCTTTCCTAGCATAATACAGTACATTTTATAGGCACCTTAGTATGTGTTTAATAAGTAGATGAACAGTGATATTAAATAGTCATCATAGAGCATTTGATGAATTGGACTCTTTTATTACAAAAATTCAAGAGAAGCCAGCTTATCCAAAGATAGACTCAATATTAGGAATATTTTATCTTCCATCATTTAATTTCCGGAGTCTTAGGAACAGTAACTGTGGAAGAAGCTCTAAGCAATATAAACAAAAACTCTGATTCTGAAGTCAGTTTTTATTGTATTATGGAAAGTACTTTGTTTTCCTGCAGATGCTATTCATCTGCTCATTGCTGCGTCCTAAGATGGGGACAGAGAAGCATGATGTTTATCTACTGTTTCAGCTTTCATCTTTCCAGACCCTTGGATGTTCTTGTTAACACATATCTTTCCTTGGTTTAGTCAGCTGTGTAACCTCAGCAGACAGCGCTACACATGAACCTCAGGGAGAGGAAGCCCTTGGAACAGATGCAAGTTGTTGCTCTGACTTCTCCTTTCTTATTACAGTGGGGTGCTGATCTACACACTGAACATGAAAAGTACCTGGTGAAGCACTGTGGCAACATACCCGTCTTTGTCATCAATTATCCGTTAGTGCTTAAGCCTTTCTACATGAGGGACAACGAAGACAGCCCTCAGCACACAGTAAGGAAAGACACTGCTTATTTCAGTGTCTAGGCTTTTCCCTTGATTTAATTTCATTTAGCCTTTGGCATGTTTTCTTAAATTATAACCATCCATCTTTCTATTTCTCAAAGTAAGTAATAACGTTTCTCAAATGCTTAAAAGCATTCTCAAAAAAGCTGTCAGTGTCCTATAAACATATTTCCTCATTTCTATTGCAAGGTGTCCTTAGTTTCACAGGTGCAAATGTATGTGCTTTTTAAATTTTATTAATATTAGAGAGGAAGTGGCCAAGTGCACTGTGCAGCACTACCAACTAGACCGTCACATTCTACACTGGGTAGGATATTACAACCAGGGAAAGTACACTGGGCTAGGGATGAAAGTAGAGGGCTGTTCTGGCAAGGAAGAGGCAACTTGGCAAAGCAGGAGGCTTACAGCATTGTTGGTCTGGGCTGTCAAATGGAAATGGGGCACGGGTGCTGTGAAGGTATGAGGAGGTCTAGGAAGATTCTCCCTGTCATGGCTCTCAGCTGACTGTCTCTTCTCTCTGTCTGTCTGCCTGTCTCTCTACTTTCTTTACCCTTTTCCCTTTCTTACCATCTGTTCTTTTTTCACCCTTAACTTTTGTTGTCTTTTTAAATTCTTATGGCTCTCACTTTTCCCCTTTTTTCTCTCTTTTGTTTTGTCTATCCCTCTCTCCTTTCCAAAATTAGCCCTAATAAAAAGTAAGAATATATTTGACTTTTCAAATATTTATTGTAGAGTTGTATGTTTAATAATAATAATTATAAAAGTCTGTGAAATTAATACAGTCATTATATTGATCTCAAAAGAAGTTCCAAAAACTGAAGTAGCGACCAGGTACTTTTCACTTGTCTATAGATATAGGTATAGGAGCTCTGGTTGCGTAGCGGTTACAAATCAGGCTGTGAACCTTAAGGTCAGCAGTTCAAAACTACCAGGTGTTCTGCAGGAGAAAGATGAGGCTTTCTGCTCCCGTAAAGACTTACAGCCTCTCGGAAACCCCGTACAGGGCCGCTGTGAGTCAGAACCAACTCATAACCACCAACCACCACCACCATAGATAAACACCATTAGGAAAATGAAGGTTGGGGCCCATCAGTAATAGAATGTTCCCATCTAAGGTATGCAGTTTATCTGTTTGAATATCTTTCCCATCTTATTTTGTGGCATTATTTAAACGATATTATTGATAAGGTGTGCTGTTGAGCTGATTCCAACTCTTAGTGGCCTAAAGGACAGCATAGACTCTTGGCTCCTTAGGGCTTCCCAGCTTGTAGTCTTCATAGATCAGATCACCAGATCTTTTCTTCCCCAGAGGGGATGGTACATTCTAATTGCCAACCTTTTGGTTAGCAGCCACTAGCTTACTGTTATGTGTCAAGCACTACCATCTCATCTCTAAATTCCAAAACAACCTTGCCAAGAAACTTGTTTTCTCTCATTTTATTGATTAAAAACAAACAAAAATAAACAAACCAGGGTGTGATGAGATTAACGTCATTTTCCATGGCTACGTCGGTAAGGGGCAGAATCAGTGTTCAAGCCTGATTCTGTGTAGTTCTAAAATCTGTGTTTTTCTCCACTCTACCAAACTGCCTCAAAATAACAAACAATATAAAATTGCATTGTACTTATTGATTTTACTCACCCCCACCTTTCACATTGCATTATCCAAAACCAATGAACACCATAACTGATTTCGTTCTTATTTTCCTTACCCACCCTCTGGCAAAAATGATAATGAAAAGACCCATAGTATGACAACAAAAGGAGAGACTAGGGCATGGCTCATTGTTGTTTTGTGCCCTTGAGTCAGTTCTGACTCATAGTGACCCTGGATAGAGTTTCCAGGAGCAACTAGTGGTTTAAACTGTCAATTGTGTGGTTACCAGTCCAGTGCTTATCCTTTAGTGCCATACCAGGGCTTGGGCATAGATTACCAAATCCTAAATAACTCACTACTAAACATATATCTCTCACAAAACAAAAGATTATATCCATGTCTTTTGGATTTTTTACCATTCCACCTCCCATTATTCTCTCCCTCTATACCTCCACCTTGTATTCTTCTCACTTAATACTCTAGATGAGCACTTTTCAGTCACTCAATTTTGCATGTCTATGCAAGGCTCTGATTTAGGCTTTCCTTCTTTCTGAAGACTTTCTGAGCCTTCCTTTTTGAAATTTGCAGCATTTAAAGAATTTGTAAAACTTTGTAAAATTGTGTCTATGTTTCTAAAGTCTCTGTGTATGTCTTATGCTTTCACAAATAAAACTCTTGCCTTTTCAGGGTGATGACTGAGGATTTTTGTAACCACCATAGCTTGCACTACCCCTTCTTGACTCCCTCTAATACGACTTTCACCTCTTTCACACCTCGGATATCTCTTGCTAGGGCTAGTATTGATTTCCATATGATTAAACCCAACAGATTTTTATGTCTTTGCTGTATTTGAACTCTCAGCAATATTCAGCACCATTTCTTATTCTTGAAGCCTTCTCTTCCCTTGACTTCTGTGACATGACTTTCTTCCCAATTTTTCTCCTTCCTCAGTGGTTATTCTTTCTCAGTATTCTTCCCATTAGGTGCTAGAATTCCTCAAGGCTCAGCTGTTTTCTCTTCCAGGTGATTTCATCTGTACCCACAGTTTAGTATTTATTTTTTTAAAACTCTGTCATTTGTATCTCTAATCCTGATGTCTTCTACAACACTGAACCCATATATCTTACTGCCGCCCTCACTGCCATTTGCATACCTCAAAGGCTTTTCAAATTCAACATGTCCCAATATAAGCCCACGATTTCTCCTCACCTCTCTTTCCCCTGCCAAGTTGCTCTTTTTTCATTATTTTCTAACCATCTTAATTGTTACTCCTCAGAAACTCTATACTGGGTTGCTATGAGTTGGAACCAACTCTACAGCACTTAACAGCAACAACAATTGTACGAATACCTGAGTCATCTTTTAAATTTTCTTTTCTCTCACTTTCTAAATTCAAGCTATTGCTAAGTTCTGAAAGCTTCACTGTCATATGTTTCTCTCAAATGCATCCACTTCTCTTCATTTCCACTTTGACCATTTTAGAATAAGTTACCATCATCTCTTCCCTGGACCATTTCGGTAGCCTCCTAATTTGTCTTCCTATACCTTTCTTTCCTGCCCCCAGACATTTCTCCTACTTCAGCTTGAAGTTTTAGAAAATGCAAATCTGATCATTTCCCTCTGAAAACTACATAGTGGCCTTCCATTGCTCTTAGTCCAAAACCCTTTTACATACAAGACCCAGTGTAATCTGGCTCCTCCTGTCTCTCTAGTCTAATCCACTGTGGTCCTCCACTTGGCTTTGTATGCTACATCCATACTGCCTTTCTTCCAGGTCTTCAAACATGTGATGCTTCCTCCCACCACGGAATTTCTGCACATACTTGCCTTCAATCTGCAAAAATCTTTTTCACCTAAATAATTTTACAATTGCAGGGTTGATGGTTCAAATCCATTAGCCATCCCACAGTGTAGCTAGTGGGTTTGAACTGCTGACCTGTGGTTAGCAGTCCAGTGCTTATCCTACAGTGCCACCAGAGCTCTCTTCCTGGGATATGGTGTTATAAGTGCCATTGAGTTGGTTCTGACTCATAGCAGCCCTGCATATGATTTCCAAGTGCTTACCCTACAGTGTCACACCAGGATTCCCTGCGATATAGCAGGTATCTACTACCTCTTTTAGGAGCTCTGGTAGCATAGTGGTTACAAATTGGGCTGCTAACCTCAAGGTCGACAGTTCGAAGCTACCAGCTGTTCCGCAGGAGAAAGATGAGATTTTCTGCTCCCGTAAAGTTTTGCAGCCTCAGAAACCCTGTACAGTATCGCTATGGGTCAGAACCGACTCCACGGTATTCAGTAACAACAACAACTACCTGTTTAGTGGATAAATAGGTGATTGGATACATGGATGAATCACTTGAACCCAATAGTTTAGACGCAGAGCGGACAAGTAATGAGTGAGTAGCTTGATTTGCTAAGGAAATCACTAGGAAACTAAACAACATCTAAATTTTTTGAGCCACAGTACCATGACATTAAGGAAAGTCCTGTGTCTTTTAAATTATGTGATCTTAGATGAGTCACCTAATCTTTATGAGTCTTCATTCCTGATCTGTAAAAATGAGATAATGATATTATTTGGAGTTGTGAGAATTAAATTAGTTAATATATGAAAAATGCAATGTTCAGTGTTTGTGGTATTAGGCAGTCAGTAAGCATAAAATCCTTTCTCCTTATAAATTTTAATTTTGTTTTAATAAAATACAAAACCATTACAATGTTTTTTTTGTGTGGCTTGTCTTATCATGACATGCTATTAGATGAGATTCCTTAAAAGGCAATTCTGTTGTAGGCTTTACTTAGGGATGTTTATTACCTTTAGAAGTACCAAGATTTCAGTTAGATAGTCTCTCTGGTAATGTGGTTTCACAGATTAAACCCTGAAGGCATTAGGATAAGACTCTTGTATATTTGTACAATTTATGTAGTAGTATAGTACATAGCTTCTCAGAGCTAAACTATTCAGATATAATCGACTTAAATTTTCTTCAGTAGCCATGAATTGTAACATAACATTGATTCATTAGCCATGTAGATTTCTTGAATTTTATGATCTTTTCAACCCATTTGTATAAAGTGCCTGCTTCTATCCCTATCTTATATTTTGCAGTGATAAATGAACAGGCCTTGGCCCATGTAACTAAATTCCATTTTTCTTTTAGTAAGGCATAACAAGTTATGGTAGAGTTTTTGCAATGAGTACGATGCAATCTAAGAGAATTAAGACCATTAGATTTCACCGCAGCCTTCTTTAGGGAGTCAAAAGAGAAGATTAGGAAAATGTTCTTTCTTCCCTTTCCTCCCTCTACCCCCTCCCCCAAAAAATAAATGTATGCACCATGGTATTATGGTTTTGTGAAAAATACACTGCATTAAGAGCTCACAGTTCTGG